ATGGCACCTTGAGCAAGCAAGTGCCCCCTCTTCATTTTCCTGGCTTTCTCCCCACATGGTTTGTAGGTGCACAGAGGGACCTGTCAGCAGATGTTTCAGACAAGTACTCTGGCACGTAAGAGGAACCTGTAAAAATTCTTTTGGAAAGAATATCTGAAATTAGTTGCTTTTGATATACATTATGTCACACTGCACTTACCAGAGGCAGCACCTTATGTACCTGGTGCTGCCTCACTACAGTGGATCAGCTGTATAGAATTATGTTATACCCCACCACAGCAGACTTCAGCCAGCAGTTGGGCTCCTTTCCAGTATCACTTTTCAAATCTAAAGAAGCATGAACTTGAATATGGAAACAGAATGCCAACATGATACATTATCTTTTCTCCATAGTGACGAATGTAAATCTTACATTAGGGATGGAAAGTAACTTTGATGTGTAGTGACTGTAGAAAGAGGTCGTCCAAGTTTTTTTTCATCTCATGGAAGAATTACTTGCATAGAAAATCTACTTACTCCCTTCTCCACCTCTCCCCTGAAAAAAAACCCCAAACCTTTAAAATTCTGTTTGGAACTAGTGTTAAAAATCAAATAGGTAGAGCTGTAGAATATCAGCAGATTTTAAAGTACCTTCTCAGAAAACTATGCTCAGATATATTCAAGTTTTTTAATATCACAACTAATATTGTGATATTGTCACTATCAGTTCAAATACTCCATAAAGTGCCTTGCCCTGAAATCAAACTGCTTATTTATTATCTGTTTAAGTACCACTCTATATTTACATGAGAAATTCCACATGAAGTTGAGGGAGAGTGCAGACACTTCCTATTGCCTTCTGCTATCACAAATGGGGCAAAGAAAGACAGTCATGTTTAGCAAAGATTCTCATTTTTCAGATGTGAAGACAAATCCTAGGGCTGATGTGCTTTACACACAAAGTCTGAGTCCATAGTCAGATTTGAAATTTCAGCCTCTGTTTGAGAGAGTATCTCAGGCCAGGCTAGTCAATCAAAAAGTGCAGAAGATACTAACAATTTGAAAGTAACAAATTTGTATTTGAATGAACTCACTTCCTGGCAAAAATCTACTAGCAGAAACTGTAATTAAGTTTCAAACAGATAAAAGCCTTATATAGATATTTCATTTATATACTTTCATAGTGTTAAATATTTAACATCACAAAGTTTAAAAATAAGATGAACAACTGATTGTTTCCTGGGACACTATGCCTGTTCATGGTTTGCTTTTGATTTAGAGACTATATTATGGACCCAGAGGTTACCATTTTCAATTTCTGTTACTCATTGCCATACAGGGAGGCTGCAAAGAAAACAGGTCACAGTGAGAGGCTGTTAGTCACACAGTCCTCCTGCTTCCTTCCTTCCTTCCTGTTGCACAAGCCTGTCAACTTTTCTGCTCTAAGGTGATAGATCAATATAAGAGTGACTGTCACCTTTATTACCTGACAAAACGGGGCTAAAAATAGCTACAGGGTTATTGTGACACATACAGGGATACAGACCAATACAAATATATTTTCTGTTGGATATCGCTTCTCAGTTTCTCTTTTTTTCTTCCTTTTCAGTGCAGAACCACAGTGCTCACTGCTTACAACTGTTCTCCCAGTGGCTGTGTTCTCTGCAAAAGTCACAGAAAACTGATCTTAAATAGGATTTCTCTTACACAAACAATTTGTTAGCATAGTTTTTCCTTCCTGATTATTATGACTGGCAACAAAGGTTCTTAAAACATTTCATCTAGAACAGAACTTGCACTAAGGATTAAAAACTCATCCTTGGTGGAGGCTTCGCTTCTGCTATAAAAACAAAACTTTGCACTGGGTGCTAGAGGGCACAACGAATATCCTTTGTATCCAGGGTATCATAAAACCTCAATATACTACACCAAGACAGAACAATGTGTACAATAAACTTCATATTAATCCTAGGAAAAGGCATACGAAAATTTAAAATAATTCCTGAACAGTTATATTCTAATTAATTTCTTTTCCAAGATAGACTACTGTACCTTGCACTCTAACCCACAGTATGTAATTTATATGAAGAAAATGCACACACACACATACGTATGATATTAGCACTTCCACAGGCATTTATTTAACAGCTATTATGGATCACAGAATTGTGTGCTGTATCATCTGATAAAGTGGGGGGTTGGGGGGGCAAATGTTCATTTAGTTCACTTGCTGAAGAAATCAATTAACCTAAGTGCTGTATGTGTTTGTACTTTACAGTGGCATCTATAATGATTTTGATTGTGTTTATGACTCATTTCATTGCCAGCTTGAAGCAACAAGCCTCACTATTTCAGAGTAGTTTAGTTCTTCAATGGAAGAGAGTTTCATTATATCCAATAAAGTATTATTAGCATGCAAATTTTAAAGTTAGGTCATAAATTAACATAACTTGGAGGCAATAAAATGTGTTAGTTATTTTCTCTCTCTTAGATGTGTTTGAAAGGCAGGATTTTCTTATCTTTCTCCTATAATCGACTCATAATTTTTATTTCAACACTTGCAAGATATTAGAAGAGAATGTAAAAATAAGCACTTAGTTGGTTTTAGGTATTCAGATAACCTTTTACATACTCCTAACAATAGCTATGGCTTGAAAGGCTGTGGGAGTCCAAGTATTCTAAGAGGGGAGGATAGCATTCATCTCTCTGTAATCACCTAGTGCTGCCAGATGTCTGCCGTAAGCCAAGCAGTGGGTCTCCTTCCACTAGCATTGAAGAGAGAGGATGGATTTTTTTGATCAGTACTTGGCATGTTTTTGCCTTAGAAAACCACCTAGGCCCACAGCAAACTTTTGAGTCCCATTTGGCTATAAATCTCTCTATAATGGATTATCATCTTGATAGGGCTACTTTGCTGCCTTTCTCATACTTTCTATTTTCTTGGGTGCTTTGTTTGCCTTTATTTTTCATATCTCAGGCTTTCTTTGTCACGTAAGGTTAATTCATCTGACCAAACTCCAAGCCTGCAGAAGACATCTAGTACAACACCACTGGAACCATAGCAATAAAATCACCTGACCTGGGAACTAAAGCATATCATAAAAAAAAAATTGAAAAAGGTAAGGTTAATATCCAAAGAAAATTCCTAAATTAAGGACACTTGCTTGTGATTTCCAGGGACAGTTGCTTAGTTTACAGTTTAAGTGTTTACCTTGACACAAACCACAATTTCCTGCTTATGAGAACTTTCTCTTTTCCTTCAGTTAATGCTAACTGTGTTTCCCTGCAGTAGGTATGAATTAGTTCTCAGAGGGAACTGTGACAAAACAAATTATTTTTTTTCTAGGCCAGATATTTAACAAAAATTAATAATAAATAAAAAATACAGGCTTAAAATCATATAAATGACAGGCAAAAATGAGCTACTGCTACCTTAAAATCTTTCACCCAGTTGATGCCTAATCTTAGGTAAAGAAAGCATGGGTGTTTCTTCTACAGCACAACAGGAGCTGTGTATGCACACAACTGCTGCTGCATGTTAAAGTTTTCAGCAATGCTTGACACAAAGACTGGAGCCTTGATGTTCCAAGGTCATCCCAGTGCCTAAGTAATAAAATCATGCCCGCATTCTCTCTTTTCCTTCATCAAAACCCAAGACATTTTTCTGCACTGAAATGCCTTCAATAAGAGCTGATGATGTGCCCACTCCAGAATAAACAACCTGCAGTTTGATGTGGAGGTTACTCTTTAAGAATGGGTGGTTGGTTTCCCTGAAGCTGAAGGCAGAATTAAGTCCAGTTCATGAACTTCCTAAATCAGTGGACAATAAGTGCGCAAATAGTGCAGCCGTGTAAAAAAAGAGGTGTCTCTGACCTCCTCATCTATGTGTCCAACGCCTGCCCCAATAAAAGCAACATTCCTTGGTTAGTTTTTCAGAGAAAAAAACCAAACAGTTATTCATCTTCACTAGAGGGTTTGGAGTTACAAATCAAGAGTAAAAGTATTTTAGGTAACAGTAGAGAAGTGTACCTGGAATACATCTGAAGAATAGTATTTAAGCTACCAACATGTGCCAAATTTCTCCTATAGGTGAGTCATTCATAAATCACAAGGGTTGTTTCTATCCTATATGGGAATTAAGACCAGCACAGTGTTCTCAATGCTCCTCAGGAGGCTAGACAAGTAAAAGTTATTTTCAGTCTCTGTGAATCTTAAGAGATGCTTGTGGGAGACAAGCCAACCAACTTGACCTCACTTTCAAAATAAAGAGCTCCGAGATGACTACCACCACACAGGAGTAAAATCTTATGACAGATAATTCCAGACAGACATTGAGCTCAACACTCTGCAGCAGTCAAAAAAAAAAAAAGCAAATTTTACAGTAGGAATTAAGACCACAAAGCATAAAATCATTATACCACTGGGGAAATCCAAGGCACGTCCACAGCATGAAAACTATATGCAGAGCTGGTTCCCTTGCTTCAAGAAATGACACAGCAGGAAAAGGACAGAAAAGAGCAATAGGAAGGACAAAAAAGTGCAGAGCAGTTTCTGAACAAAGATCCGCCCTGAAGAACAGTCCAGAAAAGAAGTGATTCAGCCAGCACGCAATGCAAGTCCACAAAATCAACAGAGCGGGCAGAGAGGAAGAGTATGGACTGATTCTTCACTGTCACTCAAAGTACAAAAACTAGAACTAAGGGGTATCAAATGAAGCTGATAGAAACCAGATGCGGAGAGAAAAAACAGCCGGAGCCACGGGCGGCGCCGATCCCGATCCCGATCCCGCCCCGCGCTGGCGTTGCCCCAGGGCCCGGGCAGCGGGGACGCCGGGAAGAGCCGCTCCCAGCCCCGCCGCAGGTGTGCGCTGGGCCCGGAGGAGCAGGTGAGGGCACCCCGGCTTGCTCTGGGGCCGGGGATCCGGGGGCCGCTCCTGAACCGCTTTCCAGAGGGCGGCACGAGACCGGGAGCGGCGCGATGGCCCAGGGCCGTCCTAAAACAGCGATTCTCCTCTCACCTGTTCCTGATGTTGCTCTCATTTGAGTTCTCAGGCCATACCAGATTCTCAGGAGGGAAGCTCCCCAGTGGTCCCGGACAATGGCAGGTAAGAGCAAATGCGAATAAAAATGCTGCCCACTCCAGGCCTGGGCAAAGGGCACCTCAGGGATGGGGCCTCGCTGCCGTGTTTTTAGTTGTGACTCTGAGGTCCTACTTTTGCAAACTACTGAAATTACTTCAGTAAGTGATACCTTGGAAAACTCCGGTCTTCCCAAACACTGTGTCCAGGTGCCTTCAGCACCAGTGAAAGGGAAACAATTTGGCAGCTTTGCAGAATCAATCTCTTTCAGTCAATCAGTCAATCAATTACCACCTTTGGGAGCTCTCCAGGTACTGAGCTCCCTTTTTGCTGAGAGCCAGCAGAAACAACAAAGCAGCAAAGAGGTCACTGCTCCTGATGTTGCAGACTAAGCTGTGGAGCAAGGGTTTTCAGAGTTTATACATGCCTTGAATTAATTATAGTGTTTGACCTGCAAGTTTTAATAATGTTTTTTTGCAAAGCTCTTGTTTCATGGGCACTGTGCCCCTTGGAGAAAGAATCACTACTTGTAAATTAGGTTAAAATGAGCTGTTGTCTCTTCAAACATTCAGCTCAGGTTCTATTAGTTATCCCTAACAGCCTAAACTTGCCTGTCATTTAGCAGGTGGTGCTCTGAGATGTACATCAGGAGCTGTGTCATGGAGAAACTGAGCTTAGGAGATGCCTGAAGCTTAGTATTGGCAGTCAGGAACCAAGAGCTGCATGTCTTGTAAATCCAGTCATTTTCAACAGTCCCTGGGAATTTCTATCTCTGGTTATGTATAAACAATTACTACCCCATAGAGAGTGTTTCATTTTTTCCTTGTTTTCACTGATGAATGATTTTTAAGAGAATTATTAAAATCAAATAGCCTATATTCAGTAAAATCTTGAACAAGTAAGCTCCGATACATCTTTTTACATCCCTTGAAAAAGCTCCATCCCAACATATCTGCCTGGCTACTCAGTTTACCTTGAATCCACTTTGACAGCAGTTGGAGATACATTAGACAGCCTAATCTCTGAGAAAAAATCCTGTTGCTTTCTATTGAAGTCACTGTTGTGATGCTGAAATGGGGCAGTGGCATCTTAAACATCTACCCCGATGTCGTCACTTGCACAGCGCTGAACTGGAAGATGAGGCGATCCCACATTGCAGTGGGAAGTTGCTCTGAGCTTTCAGAAGTTGTTGCCACAACACCTGGAGGGAATCTAGGCTGGCACTGCTTTTTGGGGATAGTGGAATCAGAGCAACAGAAACATCGACTTGAGGAGGGACTGAGTAGTGCTTATGTAGGGCAGTGTGACCTGCTGTGGAACACATCCACTGTCCACTGACTTCCACCTCGGAAAGCCCAGTGTTGCAAAGAATTGCTGGGCTGGGGGCATTCAGCGATTAATGCCTCAGGAGTCACTCACTGCTGCTCAGCAGGAGTCAAATCCTGCCACTGTCACTCTGTTTCCACTAGTTTTGTGCCACTTGGAAAACACACTAGAGAAAAAGGAAGGACCAAGCCCCAGCTCCACAAATTGTTCTGCATCTGCCTCCTATATTCCAAGTTGTCTTCTGGTTTTCTTTCTGCCTCCAGGGAAAAAGGTCCTGATAGTCTATGCACATCAAGAGCCCAAGTCCTTCAATGGATCTTTGTTGAAGATTGCTGTGGAAGAATTGACCAAGCAGGGCTGCAGTGTCACGGTGTCGGATTTATATGCAATGCAGTTTGAGCCAAGAGCAACAAGAAATGACATTGTTGGTGAGACTAGCCAAAATACACCTTTATCAACAATACTAACTTGTAAGCCCCTCTTTAGGTAACAGAAGGCTGACAAAAGTCTCCCTGGAGCCTTCCCCATGCTGAACAACCCAGCTGTCTCAGTCTGTCTGCATAGGAGAGGTGCTCCAGCCCTTGCACCATCAAGAGATTATTAAGAAACTTATTTCATTAATAAGAAACTTATATATAACCAGACAGCATCTCCAAAAGTCCACTCCTGAACATGAACTTTGTCTCCCAGTCAGATTACTGAGAGGGAAAAATTCATTAGCACATGTCCACAGTCAATCTCTGAAGTCCATTTCTCGCGAGGAGGAAAAGTCTTCAGATACCATTCTGTGACTTGCTACAGTTTAGTTCACAAGGCTCCTGCCTCTGTCTTCTGCTAGAGGCTGATGATCTGCCAGCTGAAGCGACAGAACAAACCTATATGCTTGATTCAGACATCCTTGAATCAGCTCACCCAATTGCTGTGGGATCAGCAGAGACAGCCAATAGTGGTTCCCCAGCACCTGCCCAGTTTCCCAGTTACAGAGGCTGGAAAGCAGCTCCATCGTGCTTAGGAGTGTATGATGGTCTCAGTAAACCCTAAGGCAGAGGCAGAACAATTAGCACAATTCTCTTAAATCATCCACCTCCATCACCAGAGTTCTGAGCCAAGCTTAGGTTCTCATATTGCACTTGGTATGTTGCTACAGGAAGGTGAAAGTTTAGGACTCCGAGGCTCTACATTCCTCTCCACTTTAAAATCAAATCACCTTCAGATGTGATGATGCTGAATATCCACCAAAGAAAAGGAAATGGGGAAAACGGAAAGCAGTGACTCCATTTACAGCTGTAGATGGCAACCTGTAGTTAAGTCTTATCTGGCTTGGTGCTGGACACAGGGCAAGGAATGACTTCACTTCTACCCACAGGTCGCTTGCACAACTCGGAAGCGTTCAATTACGGTGTGGAGACCTGGGAAGCTTACAAGAGGGGAGGTTTGTCCAGAGATCTGGTTGAAGAGCAAAAGAAGGTGCAGGAAGCAGACTTGCTGATTTTTCAGGTCATTATTTTAAATAGACTTCAGTTGTGTTGTTCACTTTATCTCTTATTTATTAAAAAGAAGCTTCTGAAAGACACCATAAAGCCATTCAAAATTTGCTGCTGACTAAACTGACCACTTGTAGAGACAGTGGTGATTGTCCAGTTTCCACTTTGTTGCCATCTCGAATTAGGCCAAATGTGGTAATGCTTTTAGAGTTTTTCTTCTGTGCTGCAGTGTGTACAAAGGTTTAGTGATAGTGATGCTTCCTAGAAAAACAGTCCATAAAGCGTTCACGATAATGCAATGAAGACATGATAGCTTTGGGATGTAGTCCCACAGGCTAACTGGAAGATCTATACACTAAGGGTCCAAGTGTTAAAGTAGTAGTTTTCTTCTCAATAAAGAGATTTGGAGTCATGATATCAGCAGGGTGTGAAAGTAAGTCTATCTTAAGATCCCCCAGCATTTGTCAGCAGACTGTCAGATCAGAACTGGTCACCTGATGTCAGTCCTGCTAATAAGGCATTAGATCATCTGTTGCTTTTGCATTTCACAATGTACAGTGTACAGTGATTCTGTACAGTCTTAAGTTTGAATGAAATGGCACCTTCCTGATTCATCATTTTCCAACTTGAATCTGGGTGGAAGCTCTCACATGCACCCTAGTGTTAGTGTGCTGTAAATGCTCAGGTATGGCCCCGAGACTCCTACAATCAGAAAGCACTTCAGGTCCTGTTGCCAAGCACAGTTACTGCCTCTCCTGACAGAGAGCTGGAAGAAGGCAGGTACAAGATCTGAACAGACTCAGAGAATAGGATTTGGCCTGTGAACCAGGTCTAAGGGTGGTCCAGACTCTCTGTGCTAACCAGGTAATTTCCTCTGCCTAGTTTCCCTTGTTTTGGTTCAGCATGCCTGCGATCCTGAAGGGCTGGATGGACAGAGTCTTGGTCCAAGGCTTTGCTTATGATTTGTCCAAGTGTTATGATGGCGGTTTGCTCCAGGTATGTTTTTGAGATTATTAAGGTCAAGGTTTGCACAATGTTCTTCTGGGCATTGGTCTTTCTTTCACTTTGTAGTTGTTTAAAGCTCTCACTCTATGCTGTCTTGAAATAAACGCTTTCAATAAATAAATATTCAATAAATAAATATTGTTACTTTATTTGAAATAAAGTAACATGTTGAGTAACTTTCTGGCTTGTTCAGACTGTCTGGAAGGCAGTACAATAAGGAGAATGCAGTGGTTCCTAAAGATTTAAACCATCTCATAGAGACCTTTACCTTTACATATAGGCCTACTATATGGGATTTATCATTTGGCAGGAGTATCACAGTGTAACATACAGCTTGCAAACAGTTTAAATTGATCCATTTCCTAAAACTTAAGTCTGTCATTATTCCCACCACCACAGCACTGCACATATCTGTCATGACTGACATACTAGAATAGGTGTCAAAGTCCTGTTCTGAGATTAGATGTCTTAAAGGTTAGAATAGAACTATAAAACTTTATCAGAAATCTGGAATATTCAGTGTATGAGCCTCTGTTGCAACTATCTACTTTGAACCTTTTCTTCTCTGTAACTTCTAAATTAGGTAAGACCAGCCTCTCTTGATGATGATTCATAAATTTTTAATTCTTCACAGCATGGAAAATTCTGGAATCCGGTGTCTGATGGATCTTATTTAGTAACAGCTGCAGCATCCGGAAACAATCAATATTGGTTTCACATTTATGTTTGCTGCATGTCAATCTCTGCTAGTTCTGATCTTCTCAACAATTCCAAACATTTCATTTTTTTTTAAATTTCAGAAATGGCTGGTTCACTGACATAAATAGGCATAATCCCCAGTGATCACAGCTGCATACAAGAGTGCAGGCTCAAGACACTTGGGATACTGCACTAGAAAATTGTTATTTCAATTACAGAAGCTAAAACTGAGATTAAGAGAATCTGAGCACAGGCCCATGGCTAATGCTGTAGTTACAGAAGCAAAGAAACATGGTGGTTTATAACACCTAGGGAATAATTTGTTCTTTATTTATTCATTGGCAAGTGACAAGCAAGCCCAAGTTTGAAGGTGGACTTTAGCAAAGTCTGGGAAAGAAGAAGACACTCCCTCTTCCAGAAATTTATGCTGTCCTGGTTTCCCTGAATATCTCTTGAACCGTTGGGCCACTCTTCTTTAAATCTGTCTAACTCCAGCACCACTTTCTTAATTCTAGGACAAATTATCCCTGTTTTCTTTCACCACTGGAGGAACCAAAGAGAAGTATGCAAGCAGAGGTGATGTTCGTTATCTCCTGTGGCCCATGCAGGTATAATGTATGAATATTTGGTTACTGTTTGCTTTCATTTTTACTATTTATTTTTAATACTTGTTTTATTGTTTATTTTATATGAAGTATAATAAGAAATTAATAAGTTGCCCACTCCAAGCACCTGCAGGTTATAAACTGGGCCCTAAAATCTCAAGACTACTTTAAAAGTCCAGTAAGGTTTAAAGCTGTTTTGTGCCCCTTCTTCCAGATTAGAATTTGGAGACAGCTTATGCTGTCAGCCTTTTCAGTTTCTCTGATATTACAGGATTTCCTTTATCTCCAGGGTGTGGGATTTCTGTTCCCCAAGGTTACCCGATGTAGGATGCAGGGCAGGAGAGGAGTCACTCATGATCTCCTACCCCTTGCAATTACCAGATGCCTGCCCCTGAGGAGCTGTCCAGCTCCAAAGCTCACAAATAAAGGTGACAAAAACGTGAAGCATGACACTGAATTCAGAAATATACAGAGGGAAAATGGCAAGCCGAGTTGATTCCACAGGCAGTAGCCTTCATTCAGAGGGAAAAGGTTAAAAAAAAATCCAAAACCCCAGTTTGGAAGTAGATGTGAAAGACACTGCAGTCCAGGAACAATCTGAGGAAGTTCAACCAGGACAATGAACGTGAGGCTGTCTCTGATCCTTGCGCATTGAACAGAGTACAGCAGCCAAAGAGAAGAGTTCTGTTGGTGTAAAAGCAATTTATTTCCCTTCTCTGATAAATGCACAGATTTACAGAACCTGCCTGATCCTGGGTCAGAGAAACAGGTTCAGATTTGAATCATGCATGTTCTTCAATTGAAAGAATTAACTATTTCCTGAAGCATTTCTTTCTTTGTTTTGCATCCAGCATGGAATCATGCACTTCTGTGGTGTCAAAGTCCTTGAACCTCACATCTGTTATGCTCCAGAGAATGTCTCTGAGGAGAAGAGGAAGGAGATGCTGACTGGCTGGACCCAGCGTCTGAAGACTCTTTGGAAGGAAGAACCCATAAACTGCTCTCCTGAGTGGTATTTCAAGTAGTGTTCAGGTACAAGACTACAGAGAGAAGATCGTTTTTCTCCATTCTTTTGGATGCTCTATCTAAATACCTGAATGCTAATCTCCTAATTCAAATGTCTTTTAAGAATCTGGAATACAGCAGCTAGCAGCTTAACTGAAAATATAGCATTTATCTTCATTGATTCCTGAGGGATTCTCATTAAGGATGGGTGCAAAACTCTTTGTGAAACTCTCCTTGCTGACATAAACAGTGATATTATCCTGCCTAAGTGTGATTGATAAGACGTGGTATTTAATGGGAGATTATACCATTGCTGCCTGTGAAACTCTAAAGTACATGGCCAAGGTTATTTTAACGCTGTTTGTACCAGCTGCTACTTTTTTTAATTGTCCAGGGAATATGCTGCCCTTACTCACACTTGTCATTTAAAAGAGCAGGAGTGGCCATGAGGGCTCTACCTTGTGCCTTTGAGCTATGAAGCCAGATCATCAGCAGTGCAAAAGGATGTACAGTTGCACAGTGACTTTGACAGCTGGAAAGCCTTGTGGGTAGCCTTGTGCTTTTCCACATATTCACAAAGCAATGTTAAAGCTACAACACCTACCAAAAAAGGGGGAAAACAAATACAAATATTGTACAGTGGTATGTGCATGAATTGCCTTCCTTTGTAGACTGCACCTCCCATTTTAAACTAAGTAGCTTCCTAAAATCAAAGGGACCTCTCTATTTTGGTTGCCCTCAGTGGAGACAAAAAGGAATCCTGGGTGCTTCTGCCCCTTCACACCAGTCAGGGTTGGTGTTTGGGTCTGGACGGCATTTGCATCCCCTCCACCACCAGAGTCAATGGGCTTCCTTGGAGATCTCCAGCACTGGCAGCAGGCAAGGCAGGATGCCTACCTGAAAACCTGCAGGAGCACTGTCTGTCTTCTATGGATCAGGATCTAGTGGGACAAAAGGACTGTCTGGCTCTTAACATCCATGATTTTTACCTTGAATTGTAGCAGGAGTATTTTTGAGAGCTGTTAACCCTGCTGGTTCATACGGCAAGGGGCAGGTTTCTCACTTAGCTACCCGACTTCTTGCTTTGACCAGCTCACCTAACAGCTGGCTTTGCACTTTGGTATTAAAAGAAAGTGGCCCAAATAAGGAACTGTCTCCTGAGTCACTGCCAAATGATGCTTAGGCCTCTGCATACAGCATGTGCATCTGCCATACCTTCTTTGTGCCAGTCTTGTCACACTCCATCCTCACAGTTCTTTAAGGGCTATTTGGATAATAAACATGCTGAGCCCAAACTCTGCACTGACAGTGTAAGCTGATACACCAGACTGGGAAGTGCTACTGCAGGGAAAGAGTCACATGTTCCTGTTCTGTCTGGTATGAAGTGAAGGGCCACCTCCTGCGGAGACATTCCCTGGGAAGCAGTGCTGCCCAAAGCTGTTGTAGGTGTCTGCTTCAGGGTGTGTGAGAGACACCCTGTCTTTAGGTTACACAAGGGTGCTGCTCTTGCAATTCTTTGGAAGCCAGTCAAGTGTGCAGTGCTGTGCCAAGAGTTACTGTCCTTGTTCTGACATGCTTTCAGTGCCTGCTAGACAACACACTGCGCTGGGGCGCATGTGTGTTCTAACACATGGCTTTGCAAAACTCAAAGGAGAATTTTCCCACATGGAGGAACAACAGTGAGTGGTCTGTGGTTAATAAGGAGAGAGATATTAAGCAGCAGTATTACTTTCTTAGTAGTACTGGAAATGTTACAGCCGTTTTGAATTAGGAATGATTGTCCTGCTAAATCACATTATGGTATAAGCAAAATGTCATCCTGCCAAAACAGCATTGATTTCACCAGAATAAAACTAGAATTAGGTGAGTAACTTGTACGTGTGTTTCAAGCTGGGGAGAAGGATATAAGGGCAACATGCTTTTCTCTCCCATTTAGTCTGGGGATTTTTTTTCTGTTGTCAGTAGTGCTTCTCTCCCACAGATGTCTAGGCAATGCTCCGGTCTTCTTCTCTGACAATTTTTTCCAGAAATCGTAACTGAATTTCTTTTATTTGATGTTCTGAAATGGCAGGTCAAACGTGCTTGCAACTTCAGAAAAACACAGGGAAACAAACAGATCTTCATCTTAACTGTGTTACCAAGAAGCCTCAGAGCCTAGAGAAATCAAAACTGATTTCTTGTAGGTCTACAAAAAACCTAACATTTAAAGGCAGGTATAGGTAGTTCATTCTGTGGCTTTAATATTTGATTACTGGAACAATGTCACTGAGGTGAGCTGCCTGCTTGCAGAGGACTGTACTTTTTAATAGACTAGTTATCGAAAGGTTGTGCTGAAGAGAGGAACAGCTAATAACAAACACCATGCATAATGGAAGTACTGCTTATTTTTTCTTTCTTTTTTTTTTAAAGAAAAATCCTTCTATGTAAGATATTCTAAAGCCTAAAGAGTCTATGCCACACAGAAGAGATGCAAAGAATTTAAGCTGAGGTTGCACTCAACTTAGTGCTGGATAATTGTCTCATCATTCTAAGAGTATTAAAATACTCAGTTAAAGCAGCTTGAATGCACAGGAATTCTGATCTGTTTGGAAAATGCAGGAAGGAGACAGAAGACCAGTTTCTTCCCTAGGACTGTGCAGCCAAAATATCCCATAGCTGTTTCTGAATTGACGCTGATGAAATGAGAAAGCATTTTGTTAATATCCCACAAAATAAACCAAGACTTAACCAGGTTGTCCCCACAACAGATTGCCACACCTGCAAATGCTATTGTACCCCAGTGAGATATACAGAGCAAAGGTGGTTCTTTACTGGAACTTAATAAGAAGCCAAGAGGAAACAAAGTCCTCTCAATATACTCTACATGTACACCCTTGTATTTCTGTCACCTGTTGCTAGGCCACAGCTCAGCATCTAGGGGAGACCTCAAGTGGTTGTCTTCCGAACTTAACGGCAGTGAAAATTTGTGGCAATTGTGAACATTGAAAATTGAAATTCTGAAAAAGTGAAAATTGGTGTGGAGCCCAGAATTAACATTTCAGCACTGAATCTTCCCTATGAGAGAATACTCATCCCTGCTAGGCCAGGCAGAGCTGGGCCAGAGAGGGACTGCCACAGCATGCTTATGCTCAGGTCCCTACAGAATTTGGGATTCATCAGAGACATGGAGAGGGGTAAGTCTCTAAAGAGACACATGGCAGCAAACTACAGATGGAGAGGAAGAAGCAGAAAAAATTCAAAACTCTGCTGGCAAAACTTACTACTACAACACAGCCTTTAAAGTTCACACCAGGAAAATATATGCAAAGTCACCTTCCCATTATGACACAAGCTTACTGTGGTTGGATTTTACTTAAGATTAAGGAGAAAAGTAACCATTCCAGGCAACCTTGGTCTAGCTCTGTGGAGGTTTGGTGCTTTTTATTCATCAGCCCCTACAATTTTTCCAGTGGTTCAATGAAACCTGCAAATTTCACACACAGCAATTTTCATCCTCCTGGCAAAAAAACCAGCTACATGTCAAACATGTGACCTCTAAACACCAACAAATAAATGCCAATCTGTGTCTTTTTTTTTTCTTTTTTGCCTAGTTTTGCTACTTGGCAAAACACCAGTGAATGAGAATGCAAACTCTTTAACCACATAATTCTTAAGAATTCAGCCATCCTTCTCCCTGCCTTCAGCCCATACCTTCAGCCCCATACACAATGCAAAGCTCAAAAGCAGAAAAACCAAACTAAACCAAAACAAGAAAAAAAAAACCTCAGAAGTTAAATGTTATCAAAAGATTTCTGTAATATTTGAGACTGAAGGAGAAGACCAAAACTGCATGATTGGCCCACCAGAGATACCACATCCATATCTGCATTTGCTTTATTTAGCTGACAAGTGTCCCAGAGTCTCCGGACTGCAGGTTCAGTAACACTGTCCTTGCAATACTTCACAATGTGGATGGACACAAAATGTCTATATACAAACTGCAGTGAGCTTAGTTTGGCAATTTGGGATTTCGTCCTGAGTCTCCCCATTACAGCAGGTGTGATCAGCCCTTGCATCTGGAGCTGTCAGAGCATTAAATTCCGGTTTAGTCTCAATAGCAGCTGATCAAGAATGAGTGGAAAATGGGGATGGGCACACACCAGTTCCACTGCCAACTTTTTTTTTTTTTTTTTTTTGAGATCTTGGAAAGAAGCTATTTGCTAAGTTTGTCCAACAAGGTGCAGAAAATGGTCTCGATACTGAGAGAGAAAACTTCATCTTGAAAGTGATCACCAAGGCTGTTCTACCTCTCCAAAACCATAGCCACCCGCGTCCTACTGTGTCCCATCTGCCCTTCCAAAGAGACACCTTTCAGGAAGCCGGCAGGCAGGAGTCCCCTGCCCCTGGCAGATGCACGTGGCCAGCAGAAGGCACAAATCAGACTATGGCTCCCGCTAGAAGAGCAGATATGGGTACGTGAGTTGTTTAGGAATTCACACACTACGTTGCTGACCACCACAGGGAGAAACGAAGATCGAGTTCTGTACCTGGAGAAGACCAGAGAACCAAAAAAAAAAATAACCCCACAGCTGATGTAGGTGTCACTTGCGGTCACAGCAGCGGGGACGCGCACCCGGCCGTGCGCGGACTGGAGCGGAACCGCGGCCGCGGGCGGCGCCGATCCCGATCCCGCCCCGCGCTGGCGTTGCCCCAGGGCCCGGGCAGCGGGGCCGCCGGGAAGAGCCGCTCCCAGCCCCGCCGCAGATGTGCGCCGGGCCCCGAGGAGCAGGTGAGGGCACCCCGGCTTGCTCTGGGGCCGGGGTTCCGGGGGCCGCTCCCAAAACGCTTTCCAGAGGACGGCACGAGACCGGGAGCGGCGCGATGGCCCCGGCGCAGCTCCGGGCCGAGGCGGCCGTGCCGCGGCCGTCCAGCGCCGGGCCAGCGGCCGGAGGCGAATTCCAGGGCTAGGGCCGAAAGCCAGAGGCACCCTTCCCGCTCCCAGGGAACGCTGACGGCCCAGCCCATCCCGGCAGGTCGTGCTTGGCCAGTGCCAGCCTGTGCGTGAATGTGTGTGCAAACACACACACCGGTACATTTCCCACTGCAACAGCGGTTCTCCTCGCACCTATTCCTGGTGTTTCTCACTAGCACGTCTCTCCTTTGAGTTCTCAGGCCATACCAGATTCTCAGGAGAGAAGCTCTCCAGTGCTCCCGGACAATGGCAGGTAAGAGCAAATGCAAATAAAAATGCTGCTCACTCCAGGCCTGGGCAAAGGGCACCTCAGGGATGGGGCCTCGCTGCCGTGTTTAGTTGTGAGTTCGAGGTCTTACTTTTTACAACCACTGAAATTACTTCAGTAAGTGATGCCTCGGAAAACTCCAGTCTCCCCAAACACTGTGTCCAGGCACCTTTCGCTCCAGCGAAAGGAAAACAATCTGACAGCTCTGCAGAATTAATCTTACCCCCTCTTGGACATTTTGGCATCTCCAGGTACAGAGCTCCCTTTTTGCCGAGAGCCAGCAGAAACAGCAAAGCAGCAAAGAGGTCACTGCTCCTGATGTTCCAGACTAAGCTGTGGAGCAAGGATTTTCAGAGTTTATACATGCCTTGAATTCATGGTAGCATCTGACCTGCAAGTTTTATTAATGTTTTTTGCAAAGCTCTTGTTTCATGGGCACTATGCTCCCTGGAGAAAGAGTCACTACTTGTAAATTAGGTTAAAATGAGCTGTTGTCTCTTCAAACATTCAGCTCAGGTTCTATTAGTTATCCCTAACAGCCTAAACTTGCCTGTCACTTAGCAGGTGGTGCTCTGGGATGTACATCAGGAGCTGTGTCATGGAGAAACTGAGCTTAGGAGATGCCTGAAGCTTAGTGTTGGCAGTCAGGAACCAAGAGCTGCATGTCTTGTAAATCCAGTCATTTTCAACAGTCCCTGGGAATTTCCCTCACTGGAGTGGTTATGTATAAACAACTACTACCCCATACACACTTGTTTTCACTGATGAATGATTTTTAAGAGAATTATTAAAATCGAATAGCCTATATTCAGTAAAATCTTGAACAAGTAAGCTCCGATACATCTTTTTACATCCCTTGAAAAAGCTCCATCCCAACATATCTGCCTGGCTACTCAGCTTACCTTGAATCCACTTTGACAGCAGTTGGAGATACATTAGACAGCCTAATCTCTGAGAAAAAATCCTGTTGCTTTCTATTGAAGTCACTGTTGTGATGCTGAAATGGGGCAGTGGCATCTTAAACATCTACCCCGATGTCGTCACTTGCACAGCGCTGAACTGGAAGATGAGGCGATCCCACATTGCAGTGGGAAGTTGCTCTGAGCTTTCAGAAGTTGTTGCCACAACACCTGGAGGGAATCGAGGCTGGCACTGCTTTTTGGGGATAGTGGAATCAGAGCAACAGAAACATCGACTCGAGGAGGGACTGAGTAGTGCTTATGTAGGGCAGTGTGACCTGCTGTGGAACACATCCACTGTCCACTGACTTCCACCTCGGAAAGCCCAGTGTTGCAAAGAATTGCTGGGCTGGGGGCATTCAGCGATTAATGCCTCAGGAGTCACTCACTGCTGCTCAGCAGGAGTCAAATCCTGCCACTGTCACTCTGTTTCCACTAGTTTTGTGCCACTTGGAAAACACACTAGAGAAAAAGGAAGGACCAAGCCCCAGCTCCACAAATTGTTCTGCATCTGCCTCCTGTATTCCAAGTTGTCTTCTGGTTTTCTTTCTGCCTCCAGGGAAAAAGGTCCTGATAGTCTATGCACATCAAGAGCCCAAGTCCTTCAATGGATCTTTGTTGAAGATTGCTGTGGAAGAATTGACCAAGCAGGGCTGCAGTGTCACGGTGTCGGATTTATATGCAATGCAGTTTGAGCCAAGAGCAACAAGAAATGACATTGTTGGTGAGACTAGCCAAAATACACCTTTATCAACAATACTAACTTGTAAGCCCCCCTTTAGGTAACAGAAGGCTGACAAAAGTCTCCCTGGAGCCTTCCCCATGCTGAACAACCTAGCTGTCTCAGTCTGTCTGCATAGGAGAGGTGCTCCAGCCCTTGTACCATCAAGAGATTATTAAGAAACTTATTTCATTAATAAGAAACTTATATATAACCAGACAGCATCTCCAAAAGTCCACTCCTGAACATGAACTTTGTCTCCCAGTCAGATTACTGAGAGGGAAAAATTCATTAGCACATGTCCACAGTCAATATCTGAAGTCCATTTCTCGTGAGGAGGAAAAGTCTTCAGATACCATTCTGTGACTTGCTACAGTTTAGTTCACAAGGCTCCTGCCTCTGTCTTCTGCTAGAGGCTGATGATCTGCCAGCTGAAGCGACAGAACAAACCTATATGCTTGATTCAGACATCCTTGAATCAGCTCACCCAATTGCTGTGGGACCAGCAGAGACAGCCAATAGTGGTTCCCCAGCACCTGCCCAGTTTCCCAGTTACAGAGGCTGGAAAGCAGCTCCATCCTGCTTAGGAGTGCATGATGGTCTCAGTAAACCCTAAGGCAGAGGCAGAACAATTAGCACAATTCTCTTAAATCATCCACCTCCATCACCAGAGTTCTGAGCCAAGCTTAGGTTCTCATATTGCACTTGGTATGTTGCTACAGGAAGGTGAAAGTTTAGGACTCCGAGGCTCTACATTCCTCTCCACTTTAAAATCAAATCACCTTCAGATGTGATGATGCTGAATATGCACCAAAGAAAAGGAAATGGGGAAAACGGAAAGCAGTGACTCCATTTACAGCTGTAGATGGCAACCTGTAGTTAAGTCTTATCTGGCTTGGTGCTGGACACAGGGCAAGGAATGACTTCACTTCTACCCACAGGTCGCTTGCACAACTCGGAAGCGTTCAATTACGGTGTGGAGACCTGGGAAGCTTACAAGAGGGGAGGTTTGTCCAAAGATCTGGTTGAAGAGCAAAAGAAGGTGCAGGAAGCAGACTTGCTGATTTTTCAGGTCATTATTTTAAATAGACTTCAGTTGTGTTGTTCACTTTATCTCTTATTTATTAAAAAGAAGCTTCTGAAAGACACCATAAAGCCATTCAAAATTTGCTGCTGACTAAACTGACCACTTGTAGAGACAGTGGTGATTGTCCAGTTTCCACTTTGTTGCCATCTCGAATTAGGCCAAATGTGGTAATGCTTTTAGAGTTTTTCTTCTGTGCTGCAGTGTGTACAAAGGTTTAGTGATAGTGATGCTTCCTAGAAAAACAGTCCATAAAGCGTTCACGATAATGCAATGAAGACATGATAGCTTTGGGATGTAGTCCCACAGGCTAACTGGAAGATCTATACACTAAGGGTCCAAGTGTTAAAGTAGTAGTTTTCTTCTCAATAAAGAGATTTGGAGTCATGATATCAGTGAAAGTAAGTCTATCTTAAGATCCCCCAGCATTTGTCAGCAGACTGTCAGATCAGAACTGGTCACCTGATGTCAGTCCTGCTAATAAGGCATTAGATCATCTGTTGCTTTTGCATTTCACACATAGGATTCTGTACAGTGATTCTGTACAGTCTTAAGTTTGAATGAAATGGCACCTTCCTGATTCATCATTTTCCAACTTTAATCTGGGTGGAAGCTCTCACATGCACCCTAGTGTTAGTGTGCTGTAGATGCTCAGGTATGGCCCCGAGACTCCTACAATCAGAAAGCACTTCAGGTCCTGTTGCCAAGCACAGTTACTGCCTCTCCTGACAGAGAGCTGGAAGAAGGCAGGTACAAGATCTGAACAGACTCAGAGAATAGGATTTGGCCTGTGAACCAGGTCTAAGGGTGGTCCAGACTCTCTGTGCTAACCAGGTAATTTCCTCTTTGCCTAGTTTCCCTTGTTTTGGTTCAGCATGCCTGCGATCCTGAAGGGCTGGATGGACAGAGTCTTGGTCCAAGGCTTTGCTTATGATTTGTCCAAGTGTTATGATGGCGGTTTGCTCCAGGTATGTTTTTGAGATTATTAAGGTCAAGGTTTGCACACTGTTCTTCTGGGCAATGGTCCTTCTTTTCCATTGCAGTTGTTTAAAGCTCTGACTTTTTGCTGTCTTGAAATAATGCAGAGGGTGTCAGACATGTAATTCTTTTTTTTTTTTAACCTGTCTCTTCTCAAAGCCCGGACACACAGTCAACTGTCAATCTTGCCTCAGAACTGCCAATTCTTGAAAGGTCTGGGAGAGAAGAGGACACCCCCTTTTCTAGAAATCTATGCTGTCCCAGTTTCCCTGAATATCTCTTGAATTGTTCAGCCACTCTTCTTTAGACGTGTCTAACTGAAGCACCACTTTCTTAATTCTAGGACAAATTATCCCTGTTTTCTTTCACCACTGGAGGAACCAAAGAAATGTATTCAAATGGAGGTATTGGTGGTGATATTCGCTATGTTCTGTGGCCCATGCAGGTATAATGTATGAATATTTCATTGTTGTATATCTCAATATTTATTGTCCAAATTATTTTTAGCAATTCCTATATTGTTTATTTCATATGAAGTATAGTAAGAAATAATTATTAAGTTGCCCGTTCCAACCATTTGCAGGTTATAAACTGGGCCCTAAAATCTCAAGACTACTTTAAAAGTCCAGTAGGGTTTAAAGCTGTTTTGTGCCCCTTCTTCCAGATTAGAATTTGGAGACAGCTTATGCTGTCAGCCTTTTCAGTTTCTCTGATATTACAGGATTTCCTTTATCTCCAGGGTGTGGGATTTCTGTTCCCCAAGGTTACCCGATGTAGGATGCAGGGCAGGAGAGGAGTCACTCATGATCTCCTACCCCTTGCAATTACCAGATGCCTGCCCCTGAGGAGCTGTCCAGCTCCAGAGCTCACAAATAAAGGTGACAAAAACCTGAAGCACGACACTGAATTCAGAAATATACAGAGGGAAAATGGCAAGCTGAGTTGATTCCACAGGCAGTAGCCTTCATTCAGAGGGAAAAGGTTAAAAAAAAAACCAAAACCCCAGTTTGGAAGTAGATGTGAAAGACACTGCAGTCCAGGAACAATCTGAGGAAGTTCAACCAGGACAATGAACGTGAGGCTGTCTCTGATCCTTGCGCATTGAACAGAGTACAGCAGCCAAAGAGAAGAGTTCTGTTGGTGTAAAAGCAATTTATTTCCCTTCTCTGATAAATGCACAGATTTACAGAACCTGCCTGATCCTGGGTCAGACAAACAGGTTCAGATTTGAATCATGCATGTTCTTCAATCGAAAGAATTAACTATTTCCTGAAGCATTTCTTTCTTTGTTTTGCATCCAGCATGGAATCATGCACTTCTGTGGTGTCAAAGTCCTTGAACCTCACATCTGTTATGCTCCAGAGAATGTCTCTGAGGAGAAGAGGAAGGAGATGCTGACTGGCTGGACCCAGCGTCTGAAGACTCTTTGGAAGGAAGAACCCATAAACTGCTCTCCTGAGTGGTATTTCAAGTAGTGTTCAGGTACAAGACTACAGAGAGAAGATCGTTTTTCTCCATTCTTTTGGATGCTCTATCTAAATACCTGAATGCTAATCTCCTAATTCAAATGTCTTTTAAGAATCTGGAATACAGCAGCTAGCAGCTTAACTGAAAATATAGCATTTATCTTCATTGATTCCTGAGGGATTCTCATTAAGGATGGGTGCAAAACTCTTTGTGAAGCTCTCCTTGCTGACATAAACAGTGATATTATCCTGCCTAAGTGTGATTGATAAGACGTGGTATTTAATGGGAGATTATACCATTGCTGCCTGTGAAACTCTAAAGTACATGGCCAAGGTTATTTTAACGCTGTTTGTACCAGCTGCCACTTTTTTTAATTGTCTAGGGAATATGCTGCCCTTACTCACACTTGTCATTTAAAAGAGCAGGAGTGGCCATGAGGGCTCTACCTTGTGCCTTTGAGCTATGAAGCCAGATCATCAGCAGTGCAAAAGGATGTACAGTTGCACAGTGACTTTGACAGCTGGAAAGCCTTGTGGGTAGCCTTGTGCTTTTCCACATATTCACAAAGCAATGTTAAAGCTACAACACCTACCAAAAAAGGGGGAAAACAAATACAAATATTGTACAGTGGTATGTGCATGAATTGCCTTCCTTTGTAGACTGCACCTCCCATTTTAAACTAAGTAGCTTCCTAAAATCAAAGGGACCTCTCTATTTTGGTTGCCCTCAGTGGAGACAAAAAGGAATCCTGGGTGCTTCTGCCCCTTCACACCAGTCAGGGTTGGTGTTTGGGTCTGGACGGCATTTGCATCCCCTCCACCACCAGAGTCAATGGGCTTCCTTGGAGATCTCCAGCACTGGCAGCAGGCAAGGCAGGATGCCTACCTGAAAACCTGCAGGAGCACTGTCTGTCTATGGATCAGGATCTAGTGGGACAAAAGGACTGTCTGGCTCTTAACATCCGTGATTTTTACCTTGAATTGTAGCAGGAGTATTTTTGAGAGCTGTTAACCCTGTTGGTTCATACGGCAAGGGGCAGGTTTCTCACTTAGCTACCCGACTTCTTGCTTTGACCAGCTCACCTAACAGCTGGCTTTGCACTTTGGTATTAAAAGAAAGTGGCCCAAATAAGGAACGGTCTTCTGAGTCACTGCTAAATGACGCTTAGGCCTCTGCATACAGCATGTGCATTCTTTGTGCCAGTCTTGTCACACTCCATCCTCACAGTTCTTTAAGGGCTATTTGGATAATAAACATGCTGAGCCCAGACTCTGCACTGACAGTGTAAGCTGATACACCAGACTGGGAAGTGCTACCGCAGGGAAAGAGTCACGTGTTCCTGTTCCATGTTCTTCCGTCTCTGCCACCTCCTGCGGAGACATTCCCTGGGAAGCAGTGCTGCCCAAAGCTGTTGTAGATGTCTACTTCAGAGTGTGTGAGACAAAGTCTTTACGTTACACGAGCAGGAAATTTGCTTTGGCTCAATAGCTCTTTTACAGGAATAGGAAAGTAAAAGTTATTAAGGGGGAAAGTGTTATACATCTAAGTTGTGGAGAAAGCAGATTCATGCCGGAAGACTTAAGGTAAACAACTTACCTGATGAGAAAGTATAGGACAAATTGAAATATTCAAATTGCATAGGAGAGGAATCATCCTCATGTTCACTGTGTACATTTACCAGACTGGAAATTGAAGTGAAAGCAGAAGTTGCAAGTGTCAAACCCAATGTTACTGCTTTGGATCAATTGCAGAGCTTAGTGGGTTTAACTGTTAGATAAAGAATCTAATATAGACTGACCTGTATATTGAGGATACACTTCTTGACACTATTTGGCAGATACATGCTAGATCCCAAACACATGGTAGCGTTAGGCGCTTGTATTAGCCTGGATATATGTAATCTAAGTACCCACAGTGGCTGTGCTAGGTCAGAACAAGGATCCTGCAGCCCTGAGTTTTTTCTCCACAGTGGTTATAGGCCAGGAATAGCAAGCACTTCCCATGAATACTGACCTGGGTGCTAACTACATTTAGTTTGGGGGATTTCCTGAGGTACATACATTTTCTCTATATTTACAAAGCCAAATAATAGATCTCTGTTCTGAATTTTGTTTAGCATTCTCTTGAATTCATGTCAACTTCAAGCAGCCAATATATTTTGGCAAAGTTCAGCAGGTGAGTTTTTCCTTGCATGAAGCACTGGAGTGGGGAGGAAGCCCTGGAAGGGTGAAGCACCTGGTTCCCAGTAGCTTTGTTTGGTTCCTCCCACTCAACAGTAATGATCAGTCCCATCTGTTCTTTTACACATTTTCATTAATACTAAAATTGAAGACTTCTGCTCATGTAAATGCATTATTGTGAAAAGCACTAAAAATATATTGACCTTATTGTCCATTTCAAGGTAACCTTCCTTTCTTCTCAATCAGAATTAAGAGATTTCTCTGTAAATTCAGATTGCATTTCTGGGTCAGTTTATTTTCCCTATTCATTTAAAGAGAGAATGTCATAACTGGCAGCACTGACCTCTAAACACCAGCAAATAAATGCCAATCTGTGTCTTTTTTTGCCTTGTTTTGCTGCTTGGCAAAACACCACTGAATGAGAATGCAAACTCTTTAACCACACAATTCTTAAAAATTCAGCCATCTTTCTCCCTACCTTCAGCCCATACCTTCAGCCCCATACACAATGCAAAGCTCAAAAGCAGAAAAGCCAAGCGAAACCAAAACAAGAAAAAAAAACCCTCAGAAGTTAAATGTTATCAAAAGATTTCTGTAATGTTTGGGATTGCAAAAGACCAAAACTGCATGATTGGCCCACCAGAGATACCACATCCATATTTGCATTTGCTTTATTTAGCTGACAAATGTCCCAGTGTCTCTTGACTGCAGGTTCAGTAACACTCTCCTTGTGATACCTCACAGTGTGAATGTACATGAAATGGCTGTATACAAACTGCAATGAGCTTAGTTTGGCAATCTGGGATTCCATCTCGAGTCTCCTCATTACAGTAGGTGTGATCAGCCCTTGCATCTGGAGCTGTCGGAGCATTAAACTCCTGTCTCAATAGCAGCTGATCAAGAATCAGTGGAAAACAGGGCATGTGCCAGTTCCACTGCCAACTTTTTTTTTTTTCTTTTTGAGGGGAAACAATTGCACTCAGCTTTTTTTTTTTGGACAGATCTTGAATAGAAGCCATTTATTAAGTTTGTCCAACACAGTGCAGTCTCGATACTGAGAGAGAAAACTTCATCTTGAAAGTGATCACCAAGGTTATTTTACCTCTCCAAAACTACAGCTGCCCACATCCAACTGTGTCCTTTCTGTCTTTCCAAAAAGACACATTTCAGGAAGCTGACAGGCAGGAGTCCCCTGCCCCTGGCAGATGCATGTGCTGGCCACCAGAAGACACAAAACAAACCATGTCTTCTCCTAGAAGAGCAGATGGGGGTACATGGATGGTTTAGTTGTTCAGATACTACAGTGCTGACCATCACAGGGAGAAATGAAGGACACAATTTGTGGGCTGCTATCACTATCCCAGACTGATCTGCTGTTTTTCTGGTAGTGCCTGGTAATACTGAGCCACGAACTCCACTGCAAAGTACAGTGGGGAGTGCAACAGTTGCCCACGATGGGAAAGATCACGGCAAAGAGGGTAGACACTTATCATCACCTTCATTTCACTGGAAGAATAGCAAAGCCATCGGTCTTATGTAAAGCACCTGTGTTAGCAACATACCCGACCTCCCGAGGAGAATGGACTAGACGGTATTTGTCGGTCCTTTTAGGTTATCTATTTCCGCCAGCTGTCCCCCGGACTGGCACGTGTTCCAGTTACCCTGTTGACAAACTCCTGCCTCCACGCTTCCCGAACAAACCCCCCCCCACATCTTCAGCACCAAATCCTCAACACCGAAAGCGTTTCCGACACGCACCCAGCTGCTGTCGGGCTCGGTACCGTGGCCAGGTTGTCACCATTCACACTGCGCACCGGGCTCACCCAGGCGGCGGCGCTAGGACGGGCAGGGCTCCCGCCCTTCTCTCCCGGTGGGAGGGCGCGCGTTGCGTCGCACGGACCGAGTGACTGCACAGCATCCGGAGCAGCGGCAGCTCCGCGGTGCCCTCGGGCGAGCCCAGGCACCTCCCGTGCTCCGAGAAGGCGCGGGCCGGGTCGGGCCCCCCTCCCGCTGCCGCGGGGCCGGGGCGCTCCGCAGGGGGCGGCGAGGCCGGAGCCCGCTGCCGGGCCCTCCGGGGAAGGCGGCAGGACGGAGGAGACTGGCGCACCCGCGGTAAGGCACGGCGGCCGGGAACGGGACACGCCGGAACCGAAAGCACCGTGGCGACGCCGGCGGCGGTGCCGGGGGGCTGCCGGGGTGCCGGGCCCCGAGGAGAGGTGGCCCGGCGGGGCTGCGGCGCTACATCCCGCCCCGCCGAGGAGGGTCGCCCGGGCACGGGGGAAGGGGAAGCGGCGGGCGGGGGAGCGGTGCGTGCGAGGAGAGGCGGCCGCGGCTGCAGGAAGCCGCGGGAGGAGGAGGAGAAGGGCGACAAGGCAAGTCAACCAACGAGGAACTAGGCCAGAGGAGCCCCGCATTAAGGCTTCCCGGCCCTGCGGCGAGCGGATCTTTCGGCGCTCCCCGCCCGGGACCAGGCCCGGCCCGGCCTGGCCTGTCTCTGACAGCCACGGCCCTACGAGGTGCCGTTGCCCAGACAGCCTGTTCCAACTCCCGTGCGAGAACGGCCACTGCACAGACCCCACCCTTCTCCCCTTCCGTGCTCCCTCTGCTCTGCTCCTAATATAAGATGTTTTGACACACCTTTGCTTCCCTTGTCTTGGCTCCTCCTCCCCTTTATGTAACTTACTCATGATCTTGACACAAGTATTTTCTTTGCTATTTCCGAAAGGGAAAAAAAAAAGAAAAAATCATTCCTCAGTGAAAAGATGAGCTGAAACACCTGAGCAGAAGGGAAAGGTTTAGATGGAACTGGTTATGAAAGTTGCAGCAGTAGAGTTGAGGTGCCCTGACAGCTTTTGAAACATCTTTCACACATGCAGTCTTTTTGTCTTCAGCTGTAGCAACTCCTCCATTTATCTCCTGGTACCCATATTAGAGATACTTGTTTTGCCTCCTGTTTTTTATTCCCTTGTGTTACTGATAACTAAGTGGCCTTGAGTTTTGACGCTTGAAAACACATTAATTTCCTCCAATTATACTTTGTAACACCTCTCAAGAATTTATGTGCTGAGAGCATCGTTAGACCACAAAGGCTGCAATCAGCGTGTCACCATTTTTCATATTACTGCGCTAATGTGCGCAGCAATCCTCCTTAACTACACAGGCCATGTCAGATCTGCATCAGATCAGTAACAAATCAACAGAACCAAGTAAACTGCTTCTGAATGGTGGTCAGGCCTGATATGACCTAATGACCAGCTCATGACTCTTGGGAACTTCTGTGCCCCTTAGGGGCTAGATGAGAGGACATAACCATGATATTACAAAGAAAAATGCCACAAACATACTTATTACACTCCCATCCCTCTCTAAATAACACCAGTCATACTGGTCGGCAAAAATTCCTCTCTTCTAGCAACGAGTGTTCAGAATTTTCATAACACAGATTGGCATGTGGTAAATATGAACCCAAGTCAGATATGGCAATGCACTTCCTGAGCCCTTTTTAATTAAGAATGGTGTAAAACAAGGCTGCGTTCTCGCTCCTACCCTATTCACAGTCTTCTTTAGCATGATGCTCCAAAGGGCCGTGGCAGACCTTGATGATCAGGACGGTATCTACATTTGATATCGTACTGATGGAAGCCTATTCAACCTAAGGCGTCTGAAGGCCCACACCAAGACCTTAAACCATCTTGTCCAGGAGCTGCTTTATGCTGATGATGCCGCCCTCATCGCCCACACAGAAGCAGCCCTGCAGCGTTTAACATCCTGCTTTGCAGATGCTGCTGAGCTCTTTGGGCTGGAAGTCAGCTTAAAGAAGACAGAGGTCCTCCATCAACCTGCACCTCAGGATGTCCCCCATCATCCCCACATCACCATTGGCCAATCAGAGCTCAAATCAGTCCAGCAGTTTAATTACCTAGGCAGCCTCATCTCCTCAGATGGTAA